TTCTCTATATACAGTAGTACCTTCAAAGAGACCACATAGCAGACATTTTAATTCAGCAACTCACCAACAAATAGTGATGCGACTGGTTCTCTTGGTGAGTATGGGGAAGCTCCTGCACCATCGTATATTCTAGTGCTATCACATTTGCCAGATTTGTCTTTGTCCTGTGTAACATTACAAGGCAAACATAGGTATACACAGAAAATTTGACATGTAAGTTACCATGACCATATACTGAATAATCAAATCTACAATAATCCCGAGGATCAGAAATAAAAAAAAACACTGCCTTTTTTTTATAACTAGAGATTTTTTTCAGCTATATTTCAAAAGTTACAATTAATTTTCTTGTTATAAGACTTTGCAATTTATCCACATATGCCTGTTCACATTGAATTGACAGCTTTTGTGCTTTTGGTATTTATATGCAATGCTTCAATATATTACTATTTAAATCTGGAAATATTCTTATGACATTGGCCTTTAATTAAACTACATATATTTAGAGCTAGAAACATGACAACAATTTTATGTTGTTTTTATGAAACAAAATAGAAACCGGACAGTTTTCCTTAAGTAACACCTGACACAGCTGTGTATCAACACTGGATTGCACTGATATACTGTGGAAAAACATTTTTTTCATCGACAGTATGTTTCCAAAGGTAATGTAGCATTACCAGCTTCAATCTTAAAAGTTTCCCAAAATATCGATTTTCACCTGTAGCTCGTGCTGGTAAGATCACTATACCACATATTGAAGAGGTGATCTGGGGAACAGTGGGCAATGCTAAATGATGCTAAAATAATTGCATGAATTAATTTCACAAACCATGTAGCAGCATAATGGTGCACCTCCATTTGTTCCACATACAAAGAGGGAATCGTTGTTCTTGTACATAATAGTGATGTAATTTTTACATGTATCCTGCATAAAACACAGAGAAAAAAATGAAACCACCAGTTTCTTAAGTTACAGTATATACCACCTGTCTGCTTCTACACATATACAGTAAATACCTTTAAATAGCTCATTGACTACTGCCTGTGTAGATCCATCATTCCCACATGTAGAGAAGTAACGTATTACAACCATTTCTAGATGATAATGAGTAGATGTGCAGTATCAGTTTAAAGCCCTCTGATAATGTATATGTTTAATACATTAATAGCCATATTGTATCAAACTTTTCAAGAAAGAATGAATTACACAGTAGTAACAGTAAACTTCTACTGTTTATCCATGAGACAATTTCTACTTATGAACTTGCCAGTAATGTTGGTAACAAATGTCGTCAGTAATGGTCATTTCTGATTAAATCAGACTATTTTTATCTAATGCTGTCCAACAGATCCTATGTAAGTCTTATTAGTGTCCTGCAAGCTGCATTTTCAGTCAAAGGACAGACTGTAGTAAAAAAGGTCAGCTTTTCTTTTCTTACTTTGCACTTGTGACTCTATGATTTTATTTGTTCATTTGAGCAGCTGTCAAACATGAAGAACCATCCTCCCCTGTTTTGTGTGCTATTGATATAATAAAGCATTATTTGTGTATTTCTCTAATGAAAGGAAATGTTATATTTTTCCCACGGAAGGTCCCTTCCAAAACAAAGTATAATATGTATTTAAAAAACTTACCACCTTGTTACATTCCTGTTTGAATGAAGGGAATTTAATCTGTAAGGTACAAACAAATGTGAAATTGTTTAACCAGCTCCCTTTTTTTTATCTTATATAAAGCAGCCATTTCTGAAAAATTTAAACAGAGACAATTTGGCAAGGAGTTCATGTAAAGTTTATCCCTGACAATATTATAAAAAAAACATTATATAAACATTATATTACATTATTCATTTTGTTTTCTATGGCATATACAGTAAAAGATACTGGAGAGACCACTGTGTGTGACTAGGATAAAGAAAAAACTTTTAGTACAATGGAAAGAGTGCCAGTAGTGGCATATCATACCACGCAGTGAATTCTGCTTGCAAAAAAAAAGTATGTCTGAGCATGATCTGCAAAAAACCAAAGCTTACCTCTCTGGATTGATTCAATGATGTAAAATCGATGTGGAAAAGTTTGTTGTGGCCTCCCACATAAAGCATTTCTTTACTGTCATCAGGCAGGAGAAACACTGTGTAGCTTTGATCCTCTTTGAACTGGTATCTCATGAACTCTCCATCTGCAGAGGAATGGATAGAATACATCAAATATCATTAGACCAAAGGAAATCTAAAAAGAATTTGAAGAACATAACAAATATTTTAACCTACTTAAATGCAAACTGCATTAATTCACATTAAGATTATCCCCGCATATGAAATCTGGATCTACAAATGTAAATGAAATCTGGATCTACAAATGTTAATGCTTTATATGATTGTAAACATTAGATAAGTGCTGTGCAGCTCATTTATTTGTATGGGCGTCAGGAGCCGCCCATTAAGGGGGAGGGGGGGTACTGTCACACCCTCTGCAGCCAGAGGGCGCTCCTTCTCTGTCCTGTCTCTTGTTTCCAGTGCTTTGCTGTCCTTCCGGTGTTTCTCTCTCTCTGGGGCTATATATTTCTAGGTCTTTCATTTTCCTTTGCTCAGCATTGATGTTCGGATGTCCTGAGACCCAACTAGCACCAGGTCGCCCCACGTCCGCTACCTGAGGCCATAGGTTTCTATACGCCATTTCCTGAACAGCTGAGCCCAGGCTAACCCCCGTCTTGCCGTTACACATAGGGTCTTTTACGCTCTCCTGACATTCCAGGGTTCGTCCTTTCCGACATCCGTGACAAGGACAAAAGACAGGGTAGTTGAGAGGAGGCATGGGGCATGTGAAAAAGGAGTACCAAAACTCCTTTTAGAGGATTAGAAGGAGACAAGTCTGTCATTATGAGAAATGGGAAAGTCTGATTCTAGTTTCAGCATTTTTTTGTCCCTAATTTTTGGTTTCTTTCTGTAATAGGAGATCCAAAACCCCGTCTGTGAGGACGCAGATGGAGAGATTGGTGTGATCAAGGCCGTTAGAGGTGAAACGGGAAACTATGGGGTTGGAGAGATCGTTGATCCTCGCAGCCCTGACATGTTTCCTGAAATGGTCTTCTAGTCTCTGCCAATGTAAATAGCTGGGCATTTTCTGCAAGAGATGCAGTAAATAAGGTTGCTGGAAATACATAATGTCATCTGGGTGAACCAGAATTGTCCAAAGGAAATGCTCTAGCTGGTCATTAGACCTACTTGAACTTCTTCATTACAGTATATCCTATATACCCTGTATGATTATATTCACTTCACAAGCCAATTTAAGGTTATGACCAAAATATCAAAACTTATTGCTAAATTGCTTATTGCTCTTATTTTCTCTGTACTGTTATCTACATCTTTGTGGAAATATTTGTTTTCAAAATATGTAAGGTAGAATTTTTTTTATTTGGGTTTGCATTCATATTTTGATGTCGAATTTTATTTTAAATTCATACATATGGGAGCTGATATTGTCTATGTCAACAATGCATGCTAAAGGCTTATTTTCTTTTTAAATAAAACATCACAATTATCAGTTGACTAGCTGTGAAGATTGGTAACAAACTTCTAAGTGGCAGCACAGTTTTAACTAGAAAACTAGAATGTACTACATGTCATTACATTGGCTAAACTAACAGTGGTCTTGCCTATGCTGGTAAGGACAAAGCCTGAAACTAAAAATCTTCTTTATGAAGTTTCTAGTTCTGCAGCATACAGCAGCAACAGTATCACTTCCATTTTTATATAAAATGTTTCATGAATACTTCCTCCAACATAGAGAAAAGAAGAAATCAAAACTTCTAGTGCATCACAACGGAAAGGAAAGCAAAACAGTTATTTAATTTGATTCACCATTTGACCACATCTATGTAACTTTTCTTAAGGCTGTTGAGGCACTTCTAGCTGGGAAAAAAATTCAACCTTAACAGTTCTCAAATTAATTACTTATCAATCCACCCTAGAGCATGCTGTTGGTTTTTCACACTAGTCTCTATCTCTTTCTGCTCTGCATGCAGCCTGAAAGATTCCAGTAATTTTTATAGAAGGTTTTCTGTAAGACAACAGTAAGTACAGTAGTGCCTTCCAAATACAGTACAGTATGTTGGATGCTGAAGTGATTATTGAGACCAACGATCTTTTCCAACAAAACACAAAATTACAAAAAAATAAGCTTATGAAATGTAAATATTTCTATGAGTAGCTTGCTTGAGGATTCTTAATATTCCTTGAAATTTTTTATCAAGTTTAGGTTTCCACATTTTTAGGTATAACCCCTCAAACTGAACGAACACAGCTTTGAATAATTTAATACCATTCACCGCAATGAAAGGAAAGTTAACAGTACAATAAGTTAATATATCTATTAATATGTGAGAAACAAAATACAATGTAACTCTCATTAAGTAAAGAATAATGCTACCCATTGCAAAGCTCTGCTAAATATGTTTATGGCAAATACAATCAGTTGAAAGAATGTGCGACTTAGACTGGTTTGTATTGCATCCTTCATGCTAATGTTTCCAGATGCTTTTTTTTCGTAAAATAATTTTGTTAATTAATTTTGTTAAAGTTAATTTGAATTATAATCTGTTAAACAGAAGCATTTTAAATAAACACAGTTTTTAGTTCAAACATAAAATAATCACAAAGTTATCTTGGAGGAAGTTTCTCATGTGAAAAGCACAGCACCTAACCATGGTAAATGCTTCAAAGTAGCAAACATAGCTGTATTTTGTGATCCCAGGAAACAATCAGCAAAAAAAATGAATAAAGTACCTTCAGAAACTAAGAAGGTTCCAGCACAAGAACAACATTCTAAGTGTAACTACTACAACCAATTCAAAAAGTTACCAATACCCAACAAAGACACCTGAGAGCAGATAAAGTGTATTCAGGGAGAATTCGGGATAAGGAATCTGACTGAGGCATTCTGTACAAGGTGCAGATTTGATTCATAACTATAAGATAGCAACAAAGGGAAGATTAACTGGGCTGTCCGAAATGTTTTTAACTGGGTGAGATATCAGCAATCTCTTGTTTATCATGTTTAACTTCTTAGTTTTTGTCAGACTGAAAAAGACAAATGAGAACTATCAGCTCACCCAGCTGTTAATGCTCTACTGACAGTAAAGGCAGATATTCCTCTTCCTTTAAAAACATTCAGTCAGGTGTGCCTCAGTAAATCATTCTATGGAGTTATCCCAAATACAATTTGTTTCCCAGTTCCTGGAGTACTACTTGTTAAATCTATTCCCATTTAATTTCCAGGACATTTATCTTTCTATTGGGTTCCATTCTTATCTAGAAACAAAACACTGAGATTAACTATACCAGAGTTTTCAACATGCAGTACATTGGTCACCTGATTTTCATAATCCAGTATTAATTGAAGTCATGACAAGAACAAAGCCTTGTTTTGACATTTAAAAAACTGCATCCTTTTGATTTCTAAATAATAAAGGAGCAAGAAGGAAAGGCATCTTATCATTACATTTATTGATTAAATAAACTGTAGGGTGCTGTAACTGTAGGGTGCTTCTCAAAAAGAATAGGGCCAAATCCCCCGAGTCTTTCTCAATCATGTGTTCCTAATAATCCCCATCTTTGAGTTGGCTTCATCACTTTGCTCTCCTCCCCACTGTTAGCTGGTGCATGATGAGTGAACTGGTGCACTTTGTCTTCTATCGCATCTCAGGTGTGTGCTGCACATTGGTGGTGGAGGGGCATCAAAATTGTGTGCAGTGTGCAGAAAAGCGCTATATAAGTGTATGGAATTATTACTTTTAACTAAGAGTGTGAAGTGTCCTAATAAAATGCTGCATTGATATGATATGAAAACGTTAAAATCAAGAGCATCTATAAGATACTCTCTTCATGCATATATTATTTGACAAAGTCATATGAGAGGACCAATTCCAAACCAATGTTGAAACAAAGACCCATCAATGCAAATGGAAACTTAGAATGAGTACATGATGTGAAAATAGGAGAATTTCCTTGCTCAAACAAGGAAATAATTGGAAATTGGTTAAATAATTTCCTGTAAAGTTCACTCTTAATGTTAGCAGATGACACTTCAAAAACATTTAGATAGTATTTTAAACTGGGAAAACATCTGTTAAATGCTGTTTAATGTAGGCAAAAGTTATTACATGCAGACACCAAAACCATAAACTAAAAGATTCAAAACATAAAATACTGAGCTTGAACAGGCTTCTAAAGAAAAAAGACTTTGGTGTTTATGTTGACACATCATTTAAATTTTATATTTAAATTTTCATATCACTTTGTCTAAAGCAATAAAAAGGAAAGGCAGTATTATAATTCATTGTTAAAAGTACAGGATTTAAATGAAGGGATAGTATTTTAAAATTGTACTAGTAAACCTCATTTAGGGTATTCTGAAAAATGTTAGTTACAACATTAGAAAAATATTTTGTGTCTCTGGTATCAGTTCAAAGAAGAGCAACCAAGTACATATTTGCACTTAAGGGAACGAAAGAACTAAATAAATATTAATTTGCTTACGTTTTTATTTTCTGTAGTGATAAAATACAGACATAGATCATTTATATCTAACTATATGGACGAGACACTAGTAATTATTCACTTTACTCATGTTGCTCTTAGTAGAATAATGTTGCCCTTCTCTCACAAGATATCACATGTGGTTATGCTGATAAGTAGTGTCTGGTACTTGTATTTTATATTATGTGTCCCTGACCAAAGGGGATCAGCCAAGAGAGAGTGTTAGGAGGTTTTTTTTATTCGTGCTGGAGTAGACTGGCTAGCCAGTGTGTGGGACGTGGTGAGTTATGTGTTAGCTTAAGATGTAGCAAATGATGCTAGGTTTTTACAGGTTCCAGACAGTCAGGTTGAATGGTACTTTTCCATGCCTAATGGTGAAAAAATGAACTGTTAAGGAACAGGAGTGGTTTGCTAGATAAGGGGCAACAGGAGGCGATAGCACTTGGAGGAGGGAGGCCGTGCCTGTTACAATATGTACCAACAGATGTACCAACAGTCTCTAGATTTTGTACAGAAAAGCATGGCGAAATTTTGGATGATTTTGAAGGTTTTTTTTTAAAGGACTGGATGCTTAAGTTGACCCATCAAAGTTGACCCTTTCCTAGGCTTAGGTTAAAGTAAAGGTAAGACTGAGTTAAGGTCTCGTGGGAGTGAATCATAGGGAAGTCATGGTGCTTAAGAGCTGAGAGATATATAGGCCCTATGAAGTAAAGAGAGAGCACTCAACACTTGAACGAACATCCTAAAAGAAAAGGACAAGAGAAGGAAGGAGTTTACTAAATCTCCCTGACAAGGGGACATGGCCACTTTGATCAACAGCATGATCTATGATTTTAGAGGTGGTCATGCAGTAGTGAAAAAGACTGAGTTTGGCCACTTAATAAAAAGAAAGCAAACCAGCTATGCTGGTTTATACAACATTTTATTGTAGTCTGAAAGACAGTATTGTAATTGGGAAGGTGACTTATGTATCGGACAGGGAAATGTCCAGAGTAGTAGTGTTGTTTAGTTCCAGTGGAACCAAGTGTAAACCAGTAAGTACTACTTCTTGACTGGCAGGCTGACTAAAGTGTTTTCAGTCTTATCTGGCATCTGTAACTTTTAGGTTTGTTCCATGCTGAAAAGAGAAGAAAGAAAAAACAATGTCTGGGCTGTGGAACCTTCTTTGGGTGTAAGCCTACTGTACATCCAAAAAAGGCTCCACAGCCGAAATTCTTCTCTTTCAAGCATGGAATAAACCTACTACTTGTTCCTTTGCAGTCCATACATGCTGATGCAGCTACCCACCAGAACTTTCTGTAATTTATGATTTCTTCAAGCCTCTTCAAGATGCTCAGAAGCTCACGTTGAGTGCAGTCTCTTTCCACTGATTTCCCTCTCTTTACTTCTTTCTGGCTTTTAATCTCCCTTGTTTTCTATAACTGTCCTATATTTGTAAGTACTAGGACTAATAAAGGGGATACAATACAATGTCATAGAATCAACAACCACTACTATCTGAATTTAGATCTGAAAACCTAAAAACTGAAACAACACTGCTATGAACTAAAAATACTTTGATAAAACACCTTATGTGCAGCAACTTTCCTGTAATGATGTTTTTTAAATTATTACAATAAACCAATTATTCTAGTATATCTCATTTTTGCAGTACTTCTATACTTCTATAGCGCTGGGAATCCCACAGATTATCGTGTATTAAATATATTTAGATTAAATAGAATTTCATTTTTTCTGGAGTCTGTCACTAAAAAGACCCTAGACAGTAACAAAATCTTACTGTAATTACCTAATGTTCAATGAGATTTGATAGGAATAACAACAATACAATTATTGATTTACAGTAAAATTGTGTGTCGTTGTTAGATTAAAATGAGAAGCGTGTCAATTTGGCTTTATAGCTTGTTGATAGCTGATAGTATTGTTTCATTTGGTAGAAAAACGCCTATTCTTTTCTAAACAATAATGTTTTTTCCCTCATTTTATCCCACTCTTAGAGAATTCATATCACAAATGGCATAACGACGTAAAGTGAATTATGTAGTAGAAAAAACGTACAATTAGCTTGAATTTACTATTGGACTTTACGTACTGTACAACCTTAACACAAATGTAGCAGCGCTCCGAACTTACCCGTCGCGTGTAAAACCACCCTCGGTGTTTGATTGTTATCCAGTGCTAGCAGAAGAACTAGATTGAAATAAAAAAGTATAAAAATACGCATTTGGCAAATCATTATTAAACGTGCCTCAAACTCTCTGCCACTGACACAGATGTACTGTGAAATGCTATTTAAGTGCCCAGCCCACATACAGTAGGAAGTAAGCAGGAGGCGGGCGCAGTATATAATGTTCCATTACAGATCTAAAGAATATTTAACTCTAATTAAATACTTCTACAGATTTTACTTGCTTCACTTGGTGTGTTAGTTCATGGTAATGTCAACGTCATAATTATTTTATTTTGTGGAATCCCTAACTTCATGACAATGAAGACTTTAAAATAAGAACGTAAGCCTGCAGAGCAGAAAAGCATCATAACACCAGCAGCATCATTTCTAAAAGCAATTTCTGGAAAAAATACAAATTTTAGCACTGTAAGTCATTCCAATGACTTACAGTAATTCCTAAGACCCCGAAAGGCAGGAAAATTCAAATGAGTCATTTTTCAAAAGAACATTGTTGTAAAAGAACCGTTGAGAAAACAGGAAAAGAAAGTTCTCCCTACAGTAAGCTGTACTCTAAAGCAACTTTTAATTCCTAATCAGATATGTCACAAGTGTAGTGGAAGTCTCGAACAAGCTATCCATAGCAGACATTCTGGCTTTGACAAGCGGTCAAAGCGCACACTCTGGCTTCTTTTAATGAATATTAAGATCCTTGAACAAATTAGCTATAAGTAACCAAATAAGTTAGATAGGCTGAATCCAGCTGGGCTGAACATAAGGTTACTTGTTGGTAACCTTATGATCATTATCATTGGCAGTGACCACACTGGTTTATTTTTCTCACCGCTACCCACATGATGTTTGGTGAGAATCATATTCTGTTGATGAGTTTTAGGAGACCATAGTTCGTGGTTTTAACTTTTTAGTCAGGAATCAAGCAATAAGTTTGCTCATGTAGAAAACAACATTAAGATGCTTTTTATCCCAATTATATTTTTTTCTTAATTGTGATGCAGACACCTTTTGTTGTCATTATTAAACACAATTTGGAAATTTGTTTTTACAATTGCTTATCTCTTCTTTGTGAATGACAGTAAAGTAGTATGCTAAAGCAAGCCCTTTGTATGGGGATAAAGCCACATCTACATTTTTGTTTTGTTTTTGTATTTTGTTAGAATGATCAGTGATGGTGCATCCCAATGGAGATGTTGTTTATGAATGTTAAAAATAACA